CGGCTACAACGGGTTTGATAAACTTGGAAGGGTTAAGCTGAAACTTACAGATATCACAGTTTAGCTGTAACCCCAAAAAAAACCCTGAAAACCCCCTTTTTTTCGGGGTAACGCGGGTGACAAAAAGCTCCTTCGTATTTCCTTCATTATTTCGTTCATTTTTCCCCCTCTTTTTTTTCCCTTTTTTTAACGTTCACCGGCTGTAAACTAAGGCGAAAATTATGGTTGTTCGTTCGCTCCTGGACTTTTGTCTTAATCCAAAGCTTGATTTTTGCTCGCACTTATGTTTTACAAATTTTTTTTTTTTTTTTAAATTATTAAATTGTATTTTTTTTCCCTCTCATCATTAAATTCACTTTACAACCCCTAAAAAAATCATCATTTTAAAAAAAATTTCTCCAACTATAAAAAAACAGAGAAATTTTTTCAAAATTCAACCGAAAGCATTTTTTATAGGAAAAAATAGTCTTCATTTTACAAACCAAGCAAAAAGTCTTCCATTACAAACTACAAGCAATAAAGTCTTCCATTACAAACTACAAGCAATAAAGTCTTCATTTACAAACTACAAGCAATAAGGTCTTCAATTACAAATTACAAGCAATAAAGTTTTCCCATTACCTAAAAGCAAAAAAGTTCCTTAAAAACAAAAAGAAATAGTTTCCTTAAAAACTAAAGCAAAAAATTCTTCCTTTCAAAAAAACCGAAATAAGTCTTCCTTTTAAACTAAAAGAAATTAAGCCTCGTTTACAAATTACAAGCAATAAAGTCTTCCATTACAAACTACAAGCAATTAAGCCATCTTTTTAAAACTACACCAAAAAAGTTTTCTTTTAAAAACAAAAGCCCTGTTACGTAAAAACTGGGGCAATAAGGAAATTTTTTAAAAAACTATAAATAATAAAGTAATCCTTTCCAAATTGCAAGCAATAAAGTCATCCTTTACAAACGACAAGCAAAAAATGTCATCTTGTGCTTTGAGCTAAAAGTCATCCTTTACAAACGACAAGCAAAAATGTCATCATCCTGTGCTAACTTTGAGCTTTCAAGTCATCATTTTCAAACGACAAGCAAAATTGTCACCCTGGCTAACTTTGAGCTATAAAGTCATCCTTTTCAAACTACAAGCAAAAAAGTCACCATTTACAAATTTCAAACAAAACAAGTCATTCATTACAAATTACAAGCAATAAGTAATATTTTACACACTTCAACTAATTAAGTCTTCCTTTACAAACTACATGCAACAAAGTAATTCTTTACAAACTACACGCAATAAAGTCATTCTTTACAAACGTTTAGCAATAAAGCCATTCTTTATTAACATTAAACAAAAAAGTCATCATTGCAAACTACCAGAAATAAAGCCATCTCCTTCAAATTACGAACAACAGAGTCATCAATTCGAACTGAGACCAATACAGTCATCCTTTACGTACTACTATCATTAGTGTCACCATTTACAAACTACAAGCAATAAAGTCATCTCTTAAAAGCTGCTATCAATAAAGTCATCCTTTGCAAACTACTAGAATCCTTTACTATCTTTGAGCAATAAAGTCATCTTTTACAAACTACAAGAAATAAAGTCGTCCTTTACAAACTACGAACAAAAGGTCATCCGTTTGCACTAAGACCAATACAGTCATACTTTACGTACTACTATCATTAATGTCACCATTTACAAACTACAAGCAATAAAGTTATCTTTTAAAAGCTGCTATCAATAAAGTCATCCTTTGCAAACTACTAGAATCCTTTACTATCTTTGAGCAATAAAGTCCTTTACAAACTACTATCAATACAGTCCTTCCTTGCAAACTACGATAAGGTCATTTTTTACAGACTAAAATCATTCTGGCAAAAAACATTTCACAAAGTCATACCTTACAAGATACGAGCAATAAAGTCATTCTTAAAAACTAGTCGTGCTTTACAAATTACAAGCAAAGGTTTCTCGTTACAAGTGATGAGCAATAAAGTCATTAAGTTTAGAGAAGAAAACAAAACAATGAAGTCATCATTTACAAACCGCACGCAGTAAATTCATCTTTTGCAACCTACATACAATAACGTCATCCTTTACAAACTAAGAGCAGTAAAGTCATTCCTTACAAACTACAAGTCATGCTTTGTAAATAGCAAGCTACATTGTCACCCTGTAATCAAGCAATCAAGATTTCCTACACGACCTATATTGTAACATAACTTTACGACACATCACACCTACCAACTCATCTTTTCCCTTCTGCTCATCCACAGATGCACGTCTGGGATGACGGGGTGCCCCTGGAGGAGACACTACGAACACTGAACGACTTGGTTCGTGCTGGCAAAGTTCGTTACGTAGGAGCTAGCAACGTGACAGGTTGGCAGATGCAGAAAATAGTTGACGTATCGCAGAGACTTGGTCTCAACCCACTTATTAGTTTACAGGTGAGTGTATTTGAGCGCATGTTTTTGTGTTTATTGTACGTAATATAAAGTAAGTAAAGGACTCGTTTCACGCCTTTAGGCGTAGAGGGCATATAAGGCTAGACATATATTTTTAAAGACCAATCAGCACAAGATGTTTAATGTGGTCAGAATCACGCCGGTCGCTTTTAATTTCCCGTGACTGCACCCGGTACCCACTAAAGGCTGGGTCGACCTCGGAGCCAAGGTCATTTTTGATAAAAATCCGGCTCCGCCAGGGAGCGAACCCACGATCTGCGGCGAACGTCTAGCCGCTCGGCCAAGGTGACTCCCATTGTATGTAATACACACAAATAAACCGATAGGAAGCTCTTGAGTTCGTAGAAATAATGTATTCATTGGAAACTATTGATCGGTATACATTAGACAGTATATTGATCGGTATACATTAGACAGTATATTGATCGGTATACATTAGACAGTATATTGATCTGTACACATTAGACAGTATATTGATCGGTATACATTAGACAGTATATTGATCGGTACACATTAGACAGTATATTGATCGGTATACATTAGACAGTATATTGATCGGTACACATTAGACAGTATATTGATCGGTATACATTAGACAGTATATTGATCGGTATACATTAGACAGTATATTGATCTGTACACATTAGACAGTATATTGATCGGTATACATTAGACAGTATATTGATCGGTACACATTAGACAGTATATTGATCGGTATACATTAGACAAGATAAAAATCGAACGCTGTAGTTTACCATGTCGAGAATCGATCCTATCACCTTCAAATGACGACAGAGTCTCGCTGCAGAAACAAGCAAGTGTACTGGGACTTCAGGCACCCTCTCTCCTAGCTCCCACCCCCAAGAGAGAGAAAAAAAGGTGTGAAAGGATTATCATAACAGCACTCCGGACAGATCCATAGGTGCTCCGATCTCTTCCTCAAAGGCTCTACAGGTGTGAAACGACAGATGACGCCTGTTCTGTGTTGGTTGATGAAACGTCTTGTCCCCTTAGTGAAATGTTTATTTCTTGCAGCTCCAGGCTGCACCCCCATGTCTATGAGTCTAGAAAAGGATACAGAGTCATGTCCTTTGGTGTGCTCCTGGGTACGGTAAGTGCAACGCGTGGCAAAACAAGGTGTATTTTCATCAACCATGTCAATCATACAGCTTGAATCCACAACCATGGAATACGGACAGTTTTCGTCTCAGATCCTTGACACAGAACCGTATATATAACAGAAATGTATATATTATCAAGCATAGATTCAGTAACAAACAAAATATTGATTGTAAACACAGTCAGGGGTGACTTGGTCTATTCCGGGCATGATAACCACAGCTTTCGATTTTAGTATTGTGTAGTGTGTCCCTAATTCTGTCTACTTTTTATATAAATGCAAATCACAACATTGTATGTTTCTTTTATAAAATATGTGTGTGTTATTTTCTAGCGATACTTTGAGGTCTGTTAGTCCACTGGCAGGTCTTTTCGCGTCTTGCCTTTTTCATGTCTGATCTTTTCGCGTTTGATCTTTTCGTATCTAATTTTTACGTCTCTGGTCAATTCGTGGCTGATATTTTCGTGTCTTGTCCTTTCGTGACTGTGCTTTTCATATCAATTGTCTTTTTACGCTCAGAAGCAACGTTATTAAAGTGGCAAAACGCTTGCAAGTCGGCACGAAGATAGTGGATTTGAAACACCGTGTTGTATTTTTTCTTCTAAATTGATCTTGACACTGAGGTAGACTGAAGATAAAATGAGTACAAGGAGATGTTTTGGGAAGAAAAGATGGTCTAGGTTATGTTAACACCAGCATCCACCGAGTGCTACATAAATCTCGTTGCTCTGCGGTCTCGTTTAAAAATCTGTTAGCCATAGACAGACCAAGAATCGTATCGTCAGATGTTTGATAATGAAAGGGTTCATAATCAATATTTAGTTGTAATTTATTGTTAACGCCAATTTTAAATTGTGTGTACATGTGGCTGCCAAGTTGACTGTGTCCTGTTCTAGGGAGTAGAATAATAACTTGCTCTGGTCTATCCATGTTTTATTTCTCTTATGATTGTGTGCTTTCAGCAACAGTACAACCTGATAAGCCGCGAGTCAGAGTTGGAAGCCTTCCAGGTGTGCAAGACTGAGGGTTTGGGAGTGCTGCCGTGGAGTCCACTTAAACAGTTAGTCTATATTTCTACATTACTGCTGCTGCTACTACTGCTACTTTTCCTATTACTATTACTGTGTTATTACAATTACTGCTGTTGCTACTATTACCAATACTACCACTACAACAAATATTATTGCTACCACTACTGATATAACTACTACAACCACCACCACATTAACCATTACTATTGTTACCAAAATAACTTCCACTACTACCATCACAGAAAAGATTTGACTCCATTGTTGACTGATTTTTGATTTATGTTTTGATTTGTGAATGTCCAGGGGTATCCTCACGGGAAAGCTACAGCGAGGTGTCAAACCTACTGAGGGTCGGGCTGCATGGGCGACGAAGATCCCGTCGCTGTCGGACCTGAGTGATAGAACGTTCGACATTATCGATGTGGCTGAGGATATTGGCAAAAAGCACGGTACTCGCTTTCTTGTCCTTGTCTGGCTATGTGGATGTTTTCTGTTGTATTCTGTTTGTAGCCGCAACCGCACTTGACTCAATAGGTCACTGTGTGTCCACATGTGGGTATAAGGGGATAATGTAGCTAATCCTAAACCCAGTCGTACCCTTCCTTAGTAGCGAGTTCTTAAAACAGTCGTAAAGTGTACTTTTCTCCGTGTAGTTAGTTAGGACGCCAGTGTGTAATGTTGCTCACGTAAAAAATCCCATGGCAGTTGGAAATCGAAAACAGTAGCTTAACGGCGCTGCGGGCAAAATGATTAGTTAAAAATCTACCCAGAATATTTCCTGATCCTCGCCGGTGCTGCTGAGCTCGTGCAATGCGCTGAGCCATTTCAGACTCAGATTTGACTTAGAAGTATAAGGAAGCACTTATGGGTTACTACCCTTGATGTTGATCCGTCCTTCAAGCCTCAAACATCATAGAGTGTAGTGGTAGAATTATTTGCTTCCCTTGGGGCCTTGATAACACACGGGAGGTGGTTTGTCCGAACATTATGATTTCTGGTTGCATTTCCTCGTCTTAAGGGAAATCGCCGTGGCGTTGGCGGCTAGGCACCCGCCTGCCGGTCGAAAGGTCATGGGTTCGCGTCCTAAGAGGTAAAGGCAGCCGGCGTGGTGCTGACTACATCACCCAGTGCCTATTGGTCTATACAAATATAGGTCTAGCCCTATATTCCCAATGCAGCTTAAGGCGGGGAAAAAGGACCTTTAATTTTTGACTATTTCCTTGTCCTAAGAAAAGTTTTTGGGCTCTGTGGCTAAGTCGATGAGAACGCTTCCTAATGCCGTGATGACGGGTTCGATCCCAGCTGCGGGCCATGCGCCTTGCGTTGATTTCGACAGTGGTATCAAGAGAGCCGACCGTTCAGTAAGCAATGGCAAACTACTGGACGTAAATGACTAGAAAAACCACACAACAGCAAGGGGCTGTTGGGGTTGGTTCTGCAACGTCCTGTAAAGGATATAAAACTAACAAACCAAGAAAAAAATTATCTTCTAAGCCGTTCTCTTTCTCAGGTAAAAGCGTGCCCCAAGTGGCCATCCGTTGGTTGCTTCAGAAGGATGTGGTCTCTTCGGTCATCATCGGAGCCAGGACTTTGACGCAGCTGGACAGCAACATGGGCGCTGCCAGTGGCTGGAGTTTGACCAAGGAAGAGGTAGTATAAAACATTTCATAACATCAATAGAAACTATCTTGAAAGGACACATTCTCTCTCTCTCTCTTCTTCTCTAGCCATCTCCTTCTGTCTCTCTTTCTCTCTATCTTCTCTTCATTTCTCTGCCTCTTTCTCTCTGTCTCTGTCTTTTCTTTTACTCTCTTTCTCTCACTTCCCTTTCTCGTATTTTCTCTCTCTCTCTCTCTCTCTCTCTCTCTCTCTCTCTCTCTCTCTCTCTCTCTCTCTCTTTATCTCCCTTCTCTACTTTTCTATCTTTTTCTCTCTCTTTCTCTTTCTCTTTCTTTCTCCCTCTCTTTCTCCATCTCTTTTTGCACTTTCTCTATATCTCTCTCTTTCTGTAAAATAATATATGTTTTTGAAATAACGTGATTTTTCTAAAGGTATGGTTGCAAATAATATATGTATTTGAAATAACGGGACTAGTTATAGTTGCAAAAATATATGTTTTTGAAAAAAAAGTGGTATGTGTAAAGGTATAGTTGAAAAAATATGTTTCTAAAAAACGTGATATGTGTAAAGGTATGGTTGCAAAAACTTATGTATTTTAAATAACGTGATATGTGTAAAGGTATGGTTGCAAAAATATATGTGTTTGAAATAACGTGATATGTGTAATGGTATGGTTGCAAAAATAACGTTATAGCGCGTTAGAATGTAAAACAGTCTTACGGGCCCATTGTTTTGCCTTTCAGGGGAAAAGAAAGTTTTTCCATTCTTTTCAACATTTTCTTCCTCAGATGCAACGACTGGACACCATCTCTGACAGACCATTGCCCTACCCCTATGAGATGATTTCTCGAATGAACAGTGACCGGTTCAACCCTACAACCAGCAATTTCTATGTCAAGTCTACATTCTAAAAGCAACTTCTGTGTCAAGTCAACACTCCAGAAGCAACTTGTGGTTTTTTGTTAAGTCTATACAGTCTAGAAGAGATGTTTATGTCGAGTCTACATTTTAAAGGCAATTTTTATGTCAAATGTATATTCTAAAAGAGATTTTGTATGTTTATATTTTAAAAGCGATTTCTTTGTTACTCTATATTCTCAAGGAATTTTGTTCTTTTAATATACGTTCTGAAAGCGATTTTAATATCACTCCAATTCTAGCAGCGACCGATGAAGAAACTGCAAATCAACCCTAGTTAAAAATCAATTAGCGCAATTTTTTTCTCTAAAAGTTTACATTAAATACTTTGGTCTGATATTAGCACTTTGGCAATCTATTAAACAATGTAGAATGTGTACAATTTCAGTTAAAAGAAGACTAGTAACAGTAACGCAGCAATAAAACAGCTGACAGAGTCTATGACTAGAAAAAACAAATTCTTCATTATCGAAACCTTTTCAGAACGCCGCTCTCGTCACTAATCTACAGAAAGGTATTCGATTGTCTGCCAAATTGTCAGGGTGTTTTTGATATCCTTGATCCACTACAGTGCTGACTGTCATTTGCCTCTTCTTTCATGAATCAGTTTCGCTATTATCGTGTTCTCCTTCAGCGTTCTACTGATATTTGCTTGAAAGATGCAGGAATGCGGGAAAATGCACAGGCAGACATACTGGCTGGATGTGTATCAATGGGTGGTGACACTTATCCATGACACGCTACATGTGATCAAAGACGTTTGGGAGAATGTGAATAATGTGGATGCACGAATAGATCGTACGGTCTAGAGACAATGGTCCAGCTGGGAGTGACTAGTGGATCTGGTCGACACTCAGAGTAGAGAATTGTACAGCTGGGAGTGACCAGGGGATTTGGTCGACAGTTTACACTTCAAGAAAAGGCAAGATAGGTATACAATCAAACTGCTACTGGCACCATCGTCAACTGGAACTCTTGGCTGACTGCTTAAAAGGTGTATGGAGCACTTATGTGAATGTCCTGAGTGCTGGGATGTCAGTTCTAAGCTCAAAACCAAACTGTTTTCTCCAGCCTACTGTGCCGTTTAATATCACTGAAGTATTCAATTTACTACTAAAAATAAACTATTTGAGAATTTTCGAAACCTCAGTGTGAATAATTTATTATCTCTCATTCAGCAACTCCACCAAGTCTATAGTACACTCAGACTGACAGCTTTGGTGTATGGAAGAGATCCCTTCCAACTCCAGCCCTCTTCTTCTTTATACGAGGGTCAGTCAATGCATGTTAATTTATCGATTCAGTCGATATTAAACTGTGCATGAAAACATATGAAACATACGAATCGTTAAGTAATCAGATGCGATGGGAACGACATTGTGCAAGAGACCTGAAACATGGTAATGATAGAGTTGATGATGATGATGTTGACGATGATGCCAAGTAAATTTCTGCAATAATATGTTTTGTTTTAATTTCTAATGTGACTATTTTTGTGTGATAGTCTTTTAGCGAAGTAATTTAGCCGATTACCTAGGCTTTTAAAGGTCGTGGAATCGTTTCACTGACTGGGTCGTTGAGTGAACCAGTGCAGTTTTCACTTATATTATTAAATGCTTACAACGTTTATTTAATTATTTGTATACCGGAGACTCCCTTTTCATAAAATTGTTCGTGCATGGGTACAGAAGTAGTCTTTTCATGAGTGTACACATTTTATTTAAAAAAAATAGTCGTATACGTAAATATACTGTTTTTTACATTGTTCGTGTAAATGGGTAGAATTATTCATATACCTGACTACACTGTTCGTAAACCATGTGTCAGTTTATCAAGGATTCATCATTTTTATTTATTTGTAGAATTGTTAATACACCAGGGTACACTCTGTTTGTAGAATTAATCATAAAACTGGGTACACTGTGTTCACAGAATGGTTCATATGCCTCGGTACCCTGTTTACATAATTGTTCATATACTTGTGCACATTCCATTTATAGAATGATTCAAATACCTGGGTTTGCTCTGTTCATATATTTGTTCATATACCAGGGTTCACTCTGTTCATATATTCGTTCACATACCAGGGTTCACTGTGTTCATATATTTTTTTCATATACCATGGTTCACTCTGTCATATATTTGTTCACATACCAGGGTTCAATCTGTTCATATATTTGTTCTTATACCAGGGTTAACTCTGTTCAAATATTCGTTTATATACCAGGGCTCACTCTGTTCATATATTCTTTTATATAAAAGGGTTCCCTCTGTTCATAAAATCTCTCATAAACATGGATCCACTCTTGCACGGCGGCTTGTCTTTCTGTAGAGAGCCACATGAAATAAGACCCGGCGAAATGAAGTCGATAGCAGATCATTTATCCCTATACTTGGAAAATCCTAAATAATGCATGTATTTCCCCCTTTAGCCTTTTATTTCTTCTTTTTTCGTATGTGCCTTCGTTCGCCTTGCCTGTTGTGTTCAGATGAGAAACGAAAATGCTTCTATAAGTGTTTGGTGCCACGCATGTCATTCTCTCATCCATACAGCTTGGTTTTCGCGGGAAAGCCAACAGCCCTGACGTGGGGGGGGGGGGGGTCTTTCTAGTGTACATAGAGAACATGTCGGCTTCACCTGTTTAGTATTCTGCGGTTATCACTACATTCAGAGGAAAGACATAACCAGATTGTGACCAATACCATCAGTATTGGAACTCTACACTGGCTGCTGAAGGTGGGGATTGAGCACACACTCTTCGGTGCAATGCATGTCTGCATTAGTACATTTGTTGAACACCTTTAAGAAAACATGTAATTTGTGTACATGTTTTTCAATTAATTCTACCTTCTGGTGCTGTTTTTGGTAGTTCCTCGTGATTCTAGTTGTGGGTCCAATTCAGGTCTTCACATTTGCTGGTAGTCACCATCTCATCAATCGGCAGCTTCTTTACAAAAGTTCGGTTTTGTCACAGCGCGCTTGAAAGTCTTTCTCTCCAGCCTATTATCCAGCCCTATGTGCTTTCATAGGCAATGAATCTTCAATATCATATTCCCACCTTCAACGAATGTATCCGTCTTCAAATCGAAGTGCAACTGTCTGGGACGCGAGGAACCAAAACACCTTCAACAGATAAAATATCAGTGCTTTATTAATATCTTACCCCAAACAGGGGAAGTACACAGGTCACGGGACAGTCTAATATTTCGGGGGGTGGTAGATAGGCTGCATGCAGTAGTGGGATCCAGGCTGCACTCTCTCGTGGGACGTAGGTGGGTTGGGGTTAGAGCCATTTCTAGATGTTTTCGGGCAATTAAAAGCATCAGAAAGCAGAAAAACCCAGTCTTACCACCCTCCAAAATGTTGGACTGTCATGTGACGTCATTTGGGGTAGGCTATTAATAAAGCACCAAAATATCTAAATGGGTATGTATGCACTGTTGTCTGGATTTCCGGAAACGGTCTCTTTAGAGTTTGAAGGGATATTGAATGTGGTAGTCTCGCCTTGATTTCAACAGCTTCAGGGCTGTGCTCGACACAACCTTCGGCTGTCCTCTAGATTGTCAGGTTAAGTGAGCACCTAGCGATGTAATGCTGTCATGAAAACCATCACTAATATCTGATCATGTCTTAAGATTATGCCCGGTTATGACAGCAATTGATTTATTACATATTTCAATAGTAAATTATATGCATAAATACACAGCATAATTATACAGAATCAAACTAAACGAATAGCCGGGATGATTGTACTTATAGACCAGTCTGTACTCACAACACAAGTATGTCTCTTTTAATTATGCTCAGTTTAAAATATACACGCTATTTTTAAAGAATAAACGACTAACAATTTAACATTGCTGTTTGTGGTATAATGTTAATTTGTAAAGAAAACTTATTCACAGCAAACTTTAGCTGCACACAAGATTCTTGACAGTTTTGTTGCATGGCATGTGTGTTAGCACACGAACAAATACATGCTGCAAGAGATCGCATATTCGTCCACGCCAGTCGGCAAAGCACCTGATGATGATACACTATTCGTATTCGGGCGAATAGTTGGTCTCGCTATTCGTATTCGACCGAATTGTGAAAATCACTATTCGGTACA